ATCTCCAATGTACGACTTTGATGAATTCACTCCTTATTTCACTCGACACTGAATTATACTTCAGGGAATGTGAATAAACTTAGATAAGAATAGAATTTAATCCTTTATGTTTGATTAGGTGTCGATACAGTACTTCCTTAAATTTTTTCAATTCAATGACGTATACCAACTGTTTCATATAGGGAAAAAATATTTTTACTCTCAACATAATACATTTAAACATGTATTGGTGACTTCAATGACTGGATGATTAGTTATGTATGATTATTTTAAGAAATCACTATCAGATCAAATAGAAAGACATATACCTAAGGAATCGAGGGAACAAAATCAATTTTAATCCGTTATTTGTTAGAATTTAATTCTTTATTTAAAGTAGAGATAATAAAATCATTTCAAATTTTATCAAACCATATATCTTATTCAAAACTTTCCAGTGAACTTTGCCTTTTCATACAAACTACTAAATAGTAGTATAAAACGTAATGCCAAAAATCATCCGATGACATTCATTTTACCACATGCCTGGAATAGTGTGCAAATCATCACTAATTGTTTATATATTTAAAGCTAAAGAGTGTAAATTAAGTAGTGTTGTTGATCATACATTTGCTTTTCATGTGATTGAACAATTTATGATTTTTCATTGTATTACTGGGAAAAAAAAACACATTTGACAACATTTAATAATTAGTATCCTTGACAAATTTGTCGGATGGAAAAGAATATCCACTATAAAATCTTCGTAGTGTAGATTTAGATGTTAGTGAGGAATACATTTTGTTTTAGTGAAAGTGATAGTGCGGCTACTTAACTCAAAAACGACACCGTTCTGTCCCAACAGAACAGCGACCTATCAGCCAACAAAATTGTCTTTTCGATGATACACACATCTAGTGCTGAAAAATCGTATTTGAAGTTATTTTTCACGTAAAGTGGTCTATGATGAGATGGAGAACTATTGTGTCACTGAAAGCGGTAATAGAAGTTACGAAGAATTTTAAGTTCCATCATGGTCAAAGAATAATAATAATAATAATAATAATAATAATAATAATAATAATGAAATAACGTATGAAAAAGAGATTTGAAAGAATATCAACTTGACGATTATAAACGAAGATAAATAAGTCAACAAACAAGTGAAAAATCATGTGAAGTTAAGATATAGAACGCATTAACAAAAGATGATTGTCCATTCGAAGAAATGTTATGTGTTTAAAAATAACCAACAAAATATGAAGGGGTGGTAAGACCATGTTAAACTAAGCGATTGGATTTACCACTTCTGAACAAACAAACAAAAGCTAAGCGTGAACTGATGGATTGCCAAAGCCCCTACTATGCATAAGTTTCTTATCCGGCTTCCCTTCTAACTAGTTAGTTATACTTTGCGAATAATTTTGACTGAGGTTTCTGTAAAGACAAACGACCGGAATTGACTAGACGTTCAACAATCGAGCTACTGACTGATTTATATTTACCTTTCTATATCCATACTGGACAGTGATCGTATATGTGTTTGGAAAGAGCACACTTGATGCTGCCAATATAAAAAGCTATGCGAGAGTAAGTAATCTGGTAAATACTACTTGTAGTAACTCAAAGCGGCAGTTTATGCTTTACTCGAACTTGTATCAGTCAACTTTTCGAAAAAAACACGATTCTTAGCTCAGATAAATAAAAAGTTCTCTATATCTCATTAAACCTGATCAAAAGTTATAAATTTCGTTTTGAGAAACTCAAATTTCATTTTCAGTATCTCAAATGAAAACAACATTCATACCTTATATTATTTAGCGTGACTATCATGAAGAAGTGACTTACACTAAGCCACGAAACGTCAGAAAATCTAATTTTCTACTCATTGGGATATTACAAATATATTATTTATTTATAATCAAGTCATTATTCAGTAAGTTGATAGTTTAAGAGAATTCCTCGGATGAATGGAAGTCAGATATACAAGTATATTTAATACTATAAATTACCCAAAGTATCTGAAAGTGAATAGTTTCGTTACGACTTTAAAATATGGAAATTTTTATATCCCCTCTTTTCATAAAGAACTCACTTCTTAGAAACAGTGAATGTTTCGTCTATTTTAAAAACGTTTGATAAGCATTAATTTAACCAACAAAATTTGTCAGAAAGATTGATTGTTAAATTGACTAGATAATTTCTTAATTTTTTTGATTACTTTTCCATTCAGCACAAATATAATTAATATATAACAGCGTTTGAAAAAGGTGACTCCGTACATAATCAAACTTCTTCAGGCTTACTTGTTCAGCATAACCTAATCGATACAGAAAAGTTATTTATTGACTACAATTTATGTGAGTGATATCATCACCATTAAAGAGTTTAAATAATACAATCATCGATCGATCATCCGTAAATGTCATTTTTTCGACTCAATCGGCGTAATCATTGACAATAATGTAAAGCTAGTGTAGTTATTATTATGAAATTATTTTCGGGCTTAAAGTGCCTCTTTAAGTAAAATAAACTCAAGTCATGTGGACGAGCTTTTTCTTATCTAAGGTACTTTGATTTATAAACCACCTATCGTATTACGGACTCCAATCTGTTTATTATTCATTTAGAAAGTATAAATACATCTTAATTTTTTCCGGTTTTCTGTAATCAACTATTTATTTATATAACTGGCTAAATGATCATTTAAGGTTGTCCACCAAAGTGTAGTCTCGAATTCAAGAAATTACAGGGCATACAGAATTTCTTTAAGAATTAGAGTAAGGAACAAATATGTTAATTTTGCAGACCTTCTGTAATGAAATACTTTAAAGTGTTTGGAAAATCAACGAAAACAACTATACAAATACATGGAATCATAGAAAAAACGAGTTAAAACAATATTACATTATTATAGACCTCTACAATTGTGCATTTAAGTCAAATAATCATTTTTTAAAATAACGTTTGTCTATTTGTATGTTTAAATATTAATGATCAGTGAAATTAGTGCAATATGATCGATATTATGAAGTAAATCAAAAATAATGAAAGAATCAGTGAATAGTTTCTACAATATCTCTCATAAAATATGCTTAAATAATGTAGCTTTTATAAAGTAAATGGATGTAAATCAATGTAAATTGTAGTAGAATTTAATCAATAACTGTTGGATGGCATTCAAATAAATCTAATTAGTGTAAATGATTAAGAATAATAGAATATAATAACTGAATACAAAATTCAGAACTTGAATATGTTTAGGGTGTTAGATCCCCAGAAGCCACTTGGAAGAGATCCTAATTTTGTAATTTTATTCGGAACACCTTGACTGTCATTGGTTGACGGATTTTTTTAGTACGCTATATTATGGCTCTCCGAAGGGCCTTTCTATCATTGCATAAATAAGCTTGATTTGTGTGCTTAGTGACCTCGTATTTCCTGGGTGCTTGCAGAATACATTCTCTACGCCTCATCAAGACTTTTTAATCTAGTTAGCACGGGCGGAAGCAACGGATTAGAATAGCCCATCGTGTCATTGTATATTTGACCTTTGTTCCGTTTACCGAGTAAGGTGAACTCGTAATAGCATTCAAGCATATCAAAATATCATTTATAGATGATGGCTATGGAAACAAAGACTTGAGCAAAAAGTATTTCTGTCCATCTTTATTTGATAGTAAGTCGGAAAAATTCAATTCATATTGTTGTCATTTATAATGACTTCAATTTTTCTGTCTCAGAAATATCATGCCATGCGTGAAAACTTACCATGTACTTCTTTACATTTTATGTTTTCTCATCAGTTTGATGATTCATTTATGATCTTTGTTTATTTTAACTAAATATCAACTATATTCACTTCGTGTTGTTTACTTGTATCTTCCCATTGTTATTTAGGACTGCAATTAATCAGTCTTTATATTCCATAAATTCCATTCATCGCAAATAAATATCACTACCAAACAAACAATCACCTCATGCTTTCTTTTTATTTATTTCATAGAAATATATCTTTGGAAATAAATTTGTCACAATAGAAAATTCTAAACCATATTTCACTAATAATCTTAGCTCGTAAACACTATTTTAATGCTTTTATACAAAGTTAATAATTTCTTTTTACAATTAGATAAAATAACTAGTTTATCAAAGAATATTTCCCTTTTTTCGTACAAATTTACATGTACTACTTAAATAAGTTACTAATAGGAAATTCATCATTATCATTTTTTTAATGAATAATAACAATCCAGACACTTCATTGTATTCTGTTCTCTTTCAATACGAACGGATAAAACTATGTAAGTTGACTAATATATTAAATTGATTTAAAGAGAAATTATTCACATATTTGTCAGTTTTATATAAGCAAATAAAATGCATAAATATAACCTGGGACAATTTTGGGAAGTACAATTTTAGGACCATTCCAATTTTTTAGATTACATCAAGTGTGTATGTGTGTATATATGTGTGTGTTCAACACCCACACTCATAAAGAAATTTCCACATCCCACACATATAGACAAAGAGCTTAAAGAATATTATTATCCAAATGAGGAATTTTTCCAGAAATGTGTGGTAATTATAACCAATCACAATTTGTTTCGCCAATATTCATTGGGCTATGGTATTGGTAATTATGATTTTGTCATCCGTGAAACATAATAATTTTTTTTTGAAATACTTCATAAATACCTACAGTGTTTCTTGTAAATGAATCGTTTGTCAGATAAATAGACCCAACACTTTCACTTCAAAGGTCATTTTGACAACGAGGGTCATTCAAATATTTTCAAGGTATTTAAATTCGTTTAGTTTTAAACTACGTGAAAACTTGGTATTGAAACTGACTACAAAGCATACAAACATATATATTTACTAATAATCAACATCATTTTTTTAATTTAAAAGTGATTATACATATTACTTATTTATTATATATTATATCTTCAATGTGTGATTAAACAAACTTACTTATTCATTATCAATAATGTTGGGTTATGTGACAATTGAAGTACAAGGAGAGAATATGGAAGGTGCAGCACGTCATGCTCAAAGATTAGCTGGAAATTTTCTTGAAGATATGGAAGCAATACAAAAAGCTTCTCGTGAAAGAGATAGACGGGCGATGAGTCATTTCGAAACTAATTCTGTGGTAAGTCTATATTATATTTTGTTAATTTTATTCTTTTGAGCATTATATATTTATTTAAAAGTAATAATCGGTGTACAAAAATATAAACATTTCTGGAAAAGTAATTATATATATATATATATATCCCTTATCAGTTTGTTTACAAAGTTCATGAATGTGGGTCGCATAAAATATCATTGAAAACAAATAGTAGTATCAAAATTACATTTCAGTTTAGATCTAACTAACGGTGTTGATGATGAAGACTGTAAGTGACGAGGAAATAGCTGTCAACGTAATCATTTTCAAATTTTTAATTACTATTGAGTTATTGCTCAAGATACTCATCATTCGAAAAGATGAAGCAAATAGTCATGTTTGCAATAATGGAAATAAGATCCAAGAATATTGGAATTTACAGAATATTTCATGTTTTTTGAATTGAGATATGTGGTTCTTTCTTCAAATATATTGACAAATTAATTTATCTGTATTTATCAATAAATTAAACCATTGAGTTAGTTTTTAGGATTGGTAGTTTACTAGTTCGAAAGGATTTTCATCAAAGTTTGGTTTAATGTTTCATATAAAACTTTAAAATATTTATTAATATGAATAGATTTGGATTAAATAACATGGAATCATTTTGTTTCGTCAACTTATTAAGGGCTAATTACAATATAAACAATATAATAAGTGAAATTATAAGTATAAAGTTACTTTTTATAGAAAACGAAAGTTGACCAACAATTAGTAGAAATACTAATCTGTCCTGCAACTATATGTTGAATTAACATGAATACCACTGAAAGATAGATAAGGCAGTTTAAAAATTGTAATGCAGTACTTAAATGAAACCTTTTGACGATTGCTATTACTCCCTTTAATGCAACAAGAAAAATTTGAATACCATAAAATATTGACGTATATTTATGTGAGGCAATTAGTCTCTTTGGTAACTTTTGATAGTGTAATAAGAAGACGAAGATTATCAGAAAAGAAAATGATGTGTAAACAGTTTGAAACCTCGTCAATCTGAATAATAAGCTAAGATTATCAGGGTAGATTTATGGTGAGAACATATGTGCACATATACCTAAATGGTTGCAGAAATAAATAAAATCAAATGATCCAATAAGAGTAGTGGATAAACATTCATCATTCTATATTGCCAAACGCATAATTGCAACAGGTCATATGATTTATCTTAACTTGACTTTTATGGTGTTGTACAAAAGTGTAAAAGGGCGTATACTATGACTTATTGAAGCCTTAGCCATTAGAAAATTTAAACCTCCTTTATGTATTCAAAAATAGTTTGTTCTCACTTTAAGTCATTATCCAGTGTAATGGGTTTTTACATTATTTTCCAAACTTTTGTTATCTTTGTCTCTTATAACCCCTCTTTTCGAGTCTTGTTGACCTTTCATTTTTATATGTAAATGTTCATAACAAGTATATGTGTGATCAGATTTTTTGAAATGTATTGCGCTAATATATCATCATATAGTTCTGATAATCTTCATTTTCTTATTACATTATTGACATTGATCAAAGAGACTGTTTTAAATTCCCTGAAAGAAAACTCCCCGTACACACAATCAATGTCATTTTTATCCTATTAGGTGTTAAGTTCGCTAGAGTAATATGTTTTCTATAATTCAATATTAAATTTATTTTGAAGATGACATTCCTATTCATAAATAAATAACTAAGGTCAGGTAAAAGCATAGAAAATTTAATTGATGAAAAATATATTAGATATAAAACAGCTTAACTTTATAAAAAATTAACTGATAGATTGGGTTGGTAACAAGGGCTTTATAATATGAACAGAAACATCAAATTACTCAATTACCAAAATGTAAAAAAGAATATTCTAATTACTTTAATGTATTAAAACAACTATTCTTAGTGCCTAATGTGAGACGTTTTTAATTTCATTTCAATAATATTTGATTTATAAAGGATTAAGTTTAGCTTTAATTTCCAATATATATATATATATATATATATATATATATATATATATATATATATATATATAAGGGAGAAAAAATATGCAAAAAAAGCCAGAAGCACACCCATTAAGGGAATTAGGGCCAAGAAAGGATGAGAGGTTGGACGAATTGTTTCCGCACGCAAAGTTCAGTCTTGAGTTCGTGGATTACCAATGCCTCAGTAGTGCATAATATATTGATTTGACATCACTTCGATCCAATTCCTTTGACTCTGTAGATTACTTTAAAAGAACAATCTTTTGGAGCGATGCGTCCGTAATTAAATGCTCCTGCATAAAACTAGTAATTGTTTTACATTCTCCTTTTAAAAGCCAAGCCGGATAGTGTTCCGAGATGCGTTTAGACAGTGATCACTTTGTGCGGCCTATGTAACGTCCCTCAAATGAGCAAGTAAATTTATAGATACACATTGATGTGGCCCAAAGCGGAAGTTTATCATTAATATATATATACCACTAGACAGTTTAGGTGTATGATGAGACTAAGCAAAACAATCACTCAACCAGATGTAGTTTTCATTAAATTTTTAGGTGATATCAATACTTGATTAAAACCAGATTTAAATTTATATTGAATGTGAAATATCCATGATGCATTCAACACCAAAGTTGATAACAAGTATTTTTTTGTATAGAAATACAAAGTTTAGTCGTTATATGAATAAAGGATTGTGGTTAATAGAGGAATCCAAGTTTGTCGTTTCATTCTATTTGATACTCATCGATTGAATATACCTGTTTCCTATCGTTGAATTTTACATCAATCGTATAACCTGGTACCTTTTGCCTTAAACTGACAACTCGTTATCCATTGAGCATCGTACAGAATTTACATTTGTCAATAAAAGTGATCGCAATTCAGTCAATCATTAACAATATCAGGACAATTCAAAACCTAATCTCATCGTAATATAAAGAATATTGCCTTGTAACCTATATATATATATATATATATATATATATATATATATATATATATATATATCATTCTTACTGAAATTAACGTTTTTCAGGTAAGAATATACAGTTGTTCATTACATTAAACCTTTATGTAACTTCATTTAACTTTATTCGTTAAAAATCAAACCGTATTTTTATTTTAATCTGAAAAAATAAAAAAAGGATAAAAATCAAATGTAATCAATTAATGTGGAAATAGAGGTCAATTTACTTTTCAACTAATCGATATAAAAAGTTTATGTTTATGTTACTAACTCTTTGTTATCCTTAACTGATCTATTTTACTAATATCCAGTTATAGATTATTATTTTTCTGTTTATTTTATAGTAACTATATAATAAGAACTTTCTTTGTTATTTTTTTCCTTAATCGAAAATCAAACCTTGGAACCAACTACACAAAAGAATATAGAATATAGAAGAGACTTTGATAAACACCGATATAGAAATAGGAAATGTCAGATAAAGATATGTCTGTTAACTAGATTTAGGACTGAATATCCTTTGACAAAGACGAAACATTATGTTAAAGCCTTTAGGCTGTAAAAGAATTTTGATATTTATTTTTGATATAATAAGATTAGTCCCTTATTGGAAGATTATACAGCTTTTTTTATAAATAGTTATGTCAGAAATGACTCGAATATGTTCAATTTCTCCAGATCCAAGATCATATGATCTTTAAAATACACAAATTAACCAAAATTCGCTTGGTTCGTCTACATACATTATGTAATGTATTAGATTAGTATATTCAATATTTTACTCACAAATGCGGTAAAGTGAACTACAAGTATTCCTATTGACTGGCTACAGATAAGATGAAATACTTAACATGATTTTTGTCGAAGTTGAATGACATAATTAATTTGAAAGTTTGCTTTAATCTTTCAGATGGAATTCATGTCAATCTAAAACTTTGTAACTATTCAATTGACCTTTACAGTATTTCTCTTCATTGTGGTTTAACTGAAAAAATGGTTAAGTCTTGATAGCATATACATTCCAAATACTATCGGTTAGGTTATAATGCTTACATTAATCTAAAATGAAGAGAGAAGAGAATATAAGTTATTTCGTAAGAATATTTCTCATTATTTGAATGGAATAGTTGTCAAAAATTGGGAACCGATATAGAAGACATTGATTACAAACCACAGCTGAACTTATCTCCGAGATTAGACTTTAAGTCATTCCAACGTTTAGTTCGGTATTGATGTCTGGACTTCTTCAAAGTTATCAAAACATTTATATAACGTTTAACAAATAAGTCTACAAGAAAAGCTTAATTACTTATTAAAAGACTAATATTTTAACGAAGAATATTCTTTTCGATAAATTCTCTTCAGGTTCTACAATTATATATCCATAATAATAATCCGAAAAATGACCAGTTTAAGGGCAAAGTGCATCTTAGGTGACAAATTAAAATTTCGAAAAATAACCGACCAGAAAGATTTCAATAATAAGATAGGGAATGAGCTTACCAGATCTTTGAAGAAGCTCACGGACTAACAGACTATTACATCGGTTTTATATGAAACGATTAAACCACTGTGAACCTATCTGCCAAGATTGTATGGATTGTCAAAAATACAAAAACCGGCATTCCCATTAAGAACAACTTTAGATATGTATAACTCTCCTTATCATACAATAGCTAAATGGTTGGTAACTTTATTGAAACCTCTCCACGAAAAACTTGTAAAACATAGTGTGAAGGATGTATTCCAATTTGTTGACAAGATCTAAAATGCAAATATTTTGGGATTAAAAATGATGTCTTTGGATGCAACATCATTGATCACAAATGTTCCTCTCATAGACACTGTAGAGTATATAGGTGAACAACTGTTTGAAAATGAATTGAAACTACAGTTTCCTATAATTCTATAAAAGAGTTATTATCGAAAAGAATATTCTCCGTTCAAATATTAATCTTTTAACATGATGGGGGCGTTTAAACCATTATTCACTTATATTCTGGATTTAGTGATATGCAGTCATTGCTTACTGTCAAAGACAAGTGAATCATATCTCT